GCTCCCACCCGACCCACCACCTAGAGATAATTTCTAAGCTATTAAACGAATAACTACAGCTTGATTATTATACCCAGTCAGTGCTGTTCTAAGTTATCAATAATACTTTCTCATGGCTCCGAGACTGCAAGAGCAGTGCAACGACCGCTTGAGAATTATTTAATCGTGTCTCAAGACTGTACATACAGCTCATTGACCACTTGATTGGGATTAAGGCTCACCGGACATAAGGTTAAGAGTCCTCCTTTATTGTTTGACATAAGCTAATCCAAATTTGTTTTTTTTTTTTTAATGAAGAAGACTGTAAAGCTAATTAAGTATTAATGTATCATTTATTTAACAATTTTATTATTTAGCATTCAACTTCACTAAACGATTCTCTCTTTTTTGCTATCATTATCTTACACTAATCACCTACCTCATGTGCAATGACTATCTGCTTGTTTATATTAGTGATTACTCTATAGTTAAAGTTTATTACTCATGCTATGTAATAGCGAACCATATTCCCATATGTGTATTCCCTAAATGCTATAATAAATAGATCGAGCAATAATAAATGCACATTTCAATAATCTGTTTCATATACATTAGGGCGACTTTTACACTACCCTAAATTTATGACGTAGTTATGATAGATATATATAAAATATATTTATAAGAAAATAATTTTAACAGCAAAAAAGAAACTTTAACAGTAAAAAGAGGATGGGTTTGACGTGATAATTATATTAAATTTATTGATTTTGTGATACGGTTTAATATATACGTCATACGGTTGACGTATTTGTCATGTAATAATCAAATAGTAAGTCTGGATTTTTAATTTTGACCCAATTCCGAATGAGCTACTTTATTTGATTCTTAAATTTAATATAATTAATTGTTATACTTAGTGGCTAATTAACACGAATAAAATGAAATTAAGCTGTAAATATTCACGAATTGATATAGCTTATGTTCTAATCAAAAAAATTAATGGAAATAAAATACAATTAAATGTTAAATAGAATATTCATGAACCGAATAGCTTAGCTGAAAAATAAAAATATTGGGGAAATTAGTTATCAAGAAAAATGAAAACTTTTGAAGAAATAATCCGAAGAAAGTCGTCAGAAAAACAATCGGGAAGAAAAAATGATGTCAAATAAATTATTGTAATCTCTCTATGAATTGAATAGTAACGTGAATAATAATTAGGGGTCCTAACCAACCCTAGCCGGTCCCAAAGCAATTATGATGATTTTTTAACTAGGGCTACTTATTGGAAAGAAATGAAAAAAACTTCTTTAAAAATTTTTAAAATACAGTATTGGAACTGTAGTCCGGTCCTAACGAATTGAGCTTTTTTTAATAAAAGTTTTTGTAAGAGCTATTAAAAAAACTTTATAGTCGCTTTCAAAAAGGGTTTACTTATTAAGGACAAGTTATTGGACTCTTCTAAAATTTATAATTTGGAAATTTATTTTTGACTGCGAAACCCATTAATATAATTAATCAAATGTTCATATTGGTGACTTTTCAATAATATTTGAACACATTGTGTTCTTTGATAACAATAATAATTTGTCACTCGATCACTCCACTCATAAACAAACTACGAAATACACAAGTGGGATATCGCCTCGTTGCATCACGTGGTCTCCAGTTGTTTCCTAGAATCGTTCCTATTCTAACATTCTCTTTGTAATCGTTCCTTTATTGCTTATTTTTCCACCACAACTGTGTGATATCCGGATTGTTCACCGGGCTATTCCACTACCATTAAGTATCCAACTTGTCCAGCTGTGCTACCATATCCTTACCTGCCTAAACCTGTCTCATCGGGTGGGCGGTAGGGATTAACGAAGAGCTAGACTTGAGTCAAGATTACAGCAAAAAAAAAGTGGCTAAAAATCCTTTAGAATCGTCTTCTTTATATACCCTTCATTATGACCTCATACTTACCCAAATACCATAACGTCATTCCGTTCCTCTAACTATTTACCCGCCTATACTTTAAATCTATTAATTACATACAAATTACATTCAGGTCACGTCAGTGATCAGGATCTTGATCTCGTGACAAATGACTGCATCGTGACTTCGTTCACGGCATTACACTTATATTTCATTCACCTATATTTGCATCATTGTAAATACTCCAATGCTTTATATTCGTTCTTTTCACCATCTTGATAACAAGCACTAGCATTAATATGTCTTACGAATATAACTCATTAACAGACTTTTTAAAATAGCCTACTTTAATACAATTGATAAATGCTTACTATAAATAAATAATGAATAAATCATTAATGTAAGCTGATGAAATTTCATTTTGAGATTCTATTCAGTTACGGCCATACACAGTGAAAAGCTCCGGAACCCGTCCGATCTCCGAA